GACCCCGCGCTGCGCTCGCGCTTCGTGCGACTACTGCTGGAGCAGGGTGCGGCCGTGAACCTGAGGGACGAGCGCGGCCGCACGGCTCTCAGTCTGGCATGCGAGCGTGGCCACCTGGACGCCGTGCAGTTGCTGGTGCAGTTCAGCGGCGATCCCGAGGCGGCTGACTCGTCTGGCAATAGCCCCGTGATGTGGGCGGCGGCGTGCGGCCATGGGGCGGTGCTCGAGTTCCTAGTGCGCTCTTTCCGCCGCCTCGGCCTGCGCCTCGACCGTACCAACCGTGCGGGCCTTACAGCGCTGCAGCTGGCTGCCGCCCGTGGTCATGGAACCTGCGTGCAGGCCCTCACCGGGCCCTGGGGCCGCGCAGCCGCCGCCGCCGCGGCTCGGGGCTCCAACTCCGACAGTCCTCCTGGCCGTCCGGCTCCCGCGCCCAGCCCGGAGCGCCGACGACCCAGCCCCCGGCGCCTACAGCGGCCTCTCTTGGCGCGCTTTGCGCGAGCAGCCGGCGGCCACGGCCACGGAGGCGAGGCTGGCTCAGGAGGCAAGAGCTCCGGCCGGCACCGGGCGCAGGGGAGCGAGCGGCCCGAGTTGGGCCGGAGCATGAGTTTGGCTCTAGGTTCTGTGACCGAGGAAGAGACGGCTCGACTGCGGGCGGGAGCCCTGATGGCCCGACCACACTCGCCCCAGTCTTCGGGGACCGGGCGGTGGCGTTCGCACGAGGTGCTGGAGGGAGCGCCCCCAACCTTAGCGCAAGCCCCCATCGGCCTTAGCCCCCACCCCGAGGGCGGCTCCGGCACCTCCGGCCGCTTGGGTTTGCGCCGACGATCCACAGCTCCAGACATCCCCAGCCTGGTCGGGGAGGCACCAGGGCCAGAGAGCGGCCCGGAATTAGAGGCCAACGCCGTGCCGCACTCGATGCCTGGACCCCAGGCTTGGCAGGCAGGCACGGAGGACGTGGTGTTGCACTCTCAACGGTAAACAGCGTCGAGGACGAGCCCTGTTCCCTGCACCTGCCTGTCTCTGCTCCACTGGGATTTCTCTTTCTTCCCTCTCCTCACTTTCCTGGCAGTTTCCCTCCCATCTGTGATCCCAGAACTTGTCCCCACTGCCAAGATAAGTGGCCTTCTCTCTTAAAGGGACCCCTATTATTTCTTTTTTTGGCTTGTCGGTACTTTTAGTGTTCGCTGCCTAAGTCTCACCTCTACAGCCTGCTTTTCCTGCCCTGGACAGGGAGGAGTAGAAGACTGGTCCCATGGGCTACAGCCTTCCAGGAAGGTGGACCCCCTTCCCTCCGCCTTAAGGCTCAGTCCTGAGTCTGGCTGGCTCCTGCTTGGTCTCCTTCCCATTGCCAGGTTCCCCTCCACCCAAGCAGCAACGTGTAGAAGAGTGGACCTGTACCAAAGGATCTAGTCCTCCTCCCTCCCAGTGATGCTGACAGTAATGCCACACACGACCTAAGTCTCCCTTCCTCTTAAGTGTGGGCGAAGGGGAGCATGGAGATGGGCCTCAAAGACTTTCCGGCAAGAGGGCTGATTAGGGAGGAATCTAGAGGTTAACTCTGTCTAGGGAGGAACTCCTGCCTCAAGACAATGAAAGCCTGTTTTTGGAAGTGGCAGAGCCCCTGGTGTTGAAGGCTAGTTGTCCCTTGCTTACCCAGCTTCCCTCTTCCTTGTCCCCAGCCCCACCCAGAACTGAATGTCATTGACGATGTGGGGTCATTGCCCTGGCCAACGCCATCTCCAGCCTCCGCTGCATTTGAGTTCCGTCTCTGGGGTCTCATCCCTCATGACCCAGCCTTATTTCCTCACTCTCAGAGGCCTGAAATGGAAAGCACTTCTCCCACCTCCACCTCCTCCCAGCTCCCCCATCCCACACGTGGGTGCTCCTGCAGGGTGGAACTGTTGCGAAGGCTTTGCTTCATTGTGTTTCTTCCAATCCTCAAAGAACTCGTGTTTTGAGCCTTTGTATATGAAGCAGAAAGCAGCAGGTCTGATCCGAGGCTTAAGAACCTGACAATGTCTCTTTAAATAGAAGCTCCGCGAGGGGGATAATTGACTGAAGTGTTTGCCACGTTAAACGACGGCGCGCGGGAGTCGGAAGCCCACACGAGCCGCAGGTCCGGGTTTAAATTACATCAAACTCCAGCGAGAGCTGGGACGGGGCTGTTAAACGGCTCCTGCTTCTCGCTGGGCGGTTAATGGCGGGCAGAGCGGATGATGGATGCCAGAGGTCGAGACCAAGGACCCCTGCCTCTGCCACAACGCGTGGGACGCAGGTCCGGCCCCGCTTCATTACTGGGCAGATTAGCGAGTCAGAGGCAACCGCAGAGAGGTGGTAAAAGGCCTTTTCCCGGCCCCCCTCACTCCCTGCCCCCTTTTTTGTGCTGGCCTAGCGAGGGGGGAACTAAGCGGGTCTGGCGAATCGCATGCCGTAGGGCCCTGCGGAAGCACTAGCACGGGTGTCTGTGCACCCAACCCGCCAGGTGGCGGCGCACGGGAGCTCTTTCTGTGGACCCCGAAGGTTGAGCTTTCACTCCCTTTATTCATCTGGCAGGGGGGTCTTTTCAAGACATCAACCTGTTAAGTCTTTGCAAAACGAAAGGTTTCTCACCAGTAATTCTAAGGGAACTGTCCAGAGGGGGAATGACCTGTGCTCAGAACTTAGGCCTGGGGGTGACGGGTGGGTGATAAAGGGTGCGGGCCTTGCGGAGGTAGATGTCAGACGACTTCGTAATCCCTCCACCCTTCCAGGCCCGCGAGGCCGCCAGTGCCCCTACTCTGGACGTGATCTCTGGTGCCCCCTGGTGGCAGCACTGCTCTCTCGCTGTGTCCTGGTTCGGAGTTTGGACTTCTGGTTTTATTTGAGATCACCGCTGTTGTACTTTCCCCTCCATGTGTATTTACCCATAAAATCTTCAGACTCTTGTTGTGTATTAAATCCTGATACTTGAAGTCATTTCACAGCAGTGAAGTGACGGACAATGAACAAAAAATTCGCATTTGGAGTAGCGGGAGCCCAAACCCTTCACTAAAGACCCCAAGAGCTTCCAAGTTAAGGCTCTGTGTCCTGAGAGGTCCTGTTGTCTTCTGAAGAACTGGAGCCTCCAGCCCCTGCTTTATGATTTCTGAACCTTGGGACCTACTGATTACGCACTGTTTTCTTCTGACGAGCCTTGCTTTTGTTTCCGGGGTGTTTTGCCCTTCCCCCGCTCCTTTCTCGTCAAACATCTGCCTCCCCTTAGCCCACTGTCTGGGCGGTGGGTAAACAATACAGGAGCTCCTGAACAGCTAGAGGACAGGATCTGGGGTAGGATTGGGGGTAGTTAGTCACCCCAAGTGCAAACTCCTTTTTTTCTGATCCTTGCTTGCTCACTTACTTCCTTTCCAACTGTGTTTAATTTTTGTGAAGTTTCTAATGGTGTAAGAATACAAGTATTCTGGCTTCTTCAAAACAAGGTGAAGTCTCAGTTGCACATTGTATTGAAGGTTCTGTATATTTCAAGTGAATATTACCTGGGCCCTCTTTATTGGGTAAACAACCACAAGGGCTCCTCTCCCTGGAGTTGCCAAGGGCTGGGTGGTTGAAAGTGATGTTTCTAAGAAAACCACAGCTGATCTTTCCTGTCTGAACTGAATTGCCTGTCTGACTGATTTGCTGTTCTTGCAGATTTCTTACCAGGCCCAGCTCAGTGCAAAACTTAAGTGTTTCGCCACATTTTTGCTCTCCTGAATATCTTCTCATTGTCAGCCCCAAGGGCATTGAGGCTGGGGTCCTCTCTCGCTCTCTCCACTTCAGAAGAGACTTTCTAAACATTCTGCTTTTCCAACTCTTGTTGCTTTTGTTATTGTGAAAATGTATCCATGCCACTAGAATCCAGTACTCCACGACCAAAGTCTGAGCTGGCCTGAGTGAGGCTGAATGACTTACATACACACTTTTGGAATGACACTGCGTGGTGGAAGGATGATTAGAACTCAAAAGAATAGTGAATAAACCCAGTATTGTTCAGTTGGGAGAACTGGCCTCTCTTTTCCTTACCGGCCGCTCCTGACCGCCCGCACCTTTTGGAGGTGGAAGGGTGCGCTTGCCTCAATCTCTGCCCATCCCATGGTGACTGCCTCCGGAAGGGAAGCCTCAAATGCTGTTTCTGGCTGAGCTGGTGGGACTGGGGCCCTCCGACCTGGCAGCTCTCTAGGTGTGAACGCCATCTGAAGCAGGAGCTGGTCTGCGTGGCTCCTTGCTCCTGATTAAGAGGTTTCAGTGAGCCCTGGGTTAGGGGGTAGAATGAGCTCTCAGAAAGAAAGTACTGGGATCAGTGTTAGAACTAGAAATTTCAAGATAATTTCATCGACCCACCCCACCCCCAGGACTGGAACCCGGGTTTCTGGATTTCCAGCCACTGCACTGCTCTTTCACAACTCCTCATTGTGGTCTCCCTCAGTTTGAGAACCCAAGCCTTCGCACGGGAAGCAGTTTCAGGCCCCTTCCCGTGGACAGCTGGAAGACGGTAGGTTTTCATTTTCCAGGGACAGGGAAACAGGGGAAGGGAGAAGCTGCTGCAGGAAGTGGTCATCGGCCCTGGTGACTGTCCCCAGAGCCTCAATAGAGCCAACAAACAAGATGCTTGGCCCTGGCTTTGCTGGCTGGGCTCTTCTCCCCTGAGAAGGAGGCTGTCTATTTCTCAGCTCTTGCAGTCCCAAGGGACTTCACTTCCTGTTTCTCTCATCCCCTACCCTCATTTTGGGTCCACACACCACCAGGGAGTTGGGTTTTCTGTGGACTAGAGTGGCCACTAGAAAGCTCGTATTGGGGTGGAGAGGGGGCTACACTAGACACCCTACTACAGGATGTCCCGCTCCAAGGCAGCCTGGCTGTGCTCCCAGAGACGAGAGGAAGTCCAGAGGTTTTGAACACTCAGTTTAATTTAAAACAGGCACAAGTGCAAACAATTCACAAAAGTTTCTAGGGAAGATGCTTTTGTTTTTAAAACTCTGACCCTTAAAAAAAAGTCCTTGTGTGTGTGTGTTCTTTTTTGCCCCAAAGCAGGCCACTAGGGAGCAAAGGAATCTAAAAATATGATCTAGATAGGGTCCAGACTCCTGGAGTTCTTCCCTGGGCTTCCCTGTCTCACAACAGCCCTGAAAGTAGAGGGGAAGGAGGACAAGGAGACAGGCGCCTGAGGAGGCCGTGAGGGGCAGATGGTTTGCACAAATGGGGTGCCCATTCTCTTGATAGGACAGAATCCCGGGAGCTGGTTCACCTCTGCCCCAGACCAGGATTTTGAAGAAAGGGTCCCTGATGTCCTGGTTATTGAAATGAAGCTTACAGGTAAAACAAAGTTTGTTTCCTCGTCCTTGCATACTTGGGCCCTCAGACTCCACACGGCAGGAGAAATTTGGAAACCTGCGCAGCCCACAGGATGCGTTAGTTTCAATACAGACCTCTGCACTGGTCAGGTAGAGACAAAAAGGACTTAAGGGGTGGGAAGCCAGACCAAGAAAGCAGGTTCCTTCAGAGCAGAACTTAGTGGGGAAGACAATGAGGAAGCCTTACTGAAGGGGCCAGGCTGTTGGGGTGACCTTCCTCCACTTACACACACCCACCCAGGCACACATGAGCACTCGCACCCGGTAAAGCGACACCACCTTTGCGACCAACCCTATTATTTCTCTTTCACCCAGAAAATGTTCCTTCCCCTCCCATGGCCTACCAATAGGCTGTTCACAGTTCGGAGCAGGCCGTGCATGAGTGTTGTGTGTTATCAGTGTAGGTGGGTCCGGAAGCAGGTGCAGGTGGGGCTGTGCCTTAAGGAAGTCAGACACAAGGGAAGAAGATGGATTCAGGTAATAAAAAACCTTCCCTGTGACCCTCTTGAGACACCGGAGTTTGGAATTGGAGCTGAGAACAGCAAGTATCCTGGTGAAGACAGGCACTCTGTCCCCTCGGGTGGCCCGGGATGCTAGGATACAATTGCCTTTAAAAAAAATCGCAGCAGCCTTTTCTGCTGTGTTGGCTGCAATGGCCAGAAGTGCTGGTCTCCGTGTTGCTTAGAAATATCCCTGTGCAAATAACAAAGGGTCATTCTGAAAAAGGGGTCTCCATCATCCGAAAGGCAACTGGGGACTCTCTTGTAGGGGGAGCGAGACTGAGGGGCAGGTCCGGCCTGGCCCAGTGGGCTGAGGGGCAGGAGGGTGGGGGTGGGGTTTCACATTCAATCTTTGGAGAGAATACTGAGAGAATGAGGCAAGCAGGCCCTGCCAGCAAGCCGGTTGCCCAGTGTCCCCTGCCTGTGGGCACAGGTGGCGGGTGCACTCTGGGGGTGGGCTCAGCAGGTGGAGGTCTGCTTGCGGTAGAGCTGGATCAGGGGTACCAGGCACTCGGGGAGCCCAGTCTGCAGCAGAAAGGGATGGTCCAGGAGCTCCTGGGCCGTGGCTCTCTCCTGAGGGTCCCGCACCAGCATCCGTTCCAGGAAGTCTCGCAGCACTGGGGAAACCTGTGGAGACAGGGCAGCGAGAGGAAGCTACGATTTGCAGTCATTTGGGGGTGACCCATGTGCCTGACCCTGCCATCATCTGAAAGTCTTAAATTTCCTCTTACTCCGTGCTTCCTTCCAGGTCTAGCACTTCTGGGATTATCAGGTAGAGAAAGAATATCAGCATCTGTCCAGGAATAGCGGCCAGTTCGCCTCCAGGGGGTGCTGCTGAGCAATGGAATTAGGATGCCTGGAGCGCTGCGGAGAGCTGAGCCCTAAGTACAAGCCCATTACACACCCTGTTTCTCTGGGCGCTCTCAGCATTCAGATTCTATGGAAAGGGGCATGGGATTGGTACCAGTGATCCAGGCCTGGGTTTATCCCTAATCTCTGGCAAGTTGCAATTTTCTCTACAGCTCAGTTTTCTCATCTGAAAAATGGGCTAATGATAACGTGCTTGCTCTGTCTGCCACAAAGGGCTTTAGTGAGGATAAAAAAAGAGGTCAGGGATGAAGAAGTGTTTTCTGAAAAATAGAAAAGAACAAAGTGAGCCCTGAAAAGGAAGATTTCTTTATTGTTCTGAGCCTTAGAGTCTAAGTCAAGGGCTTATCTTGGTTAATTTTGAGCCAATATCAGAGGGTGAGGCTGAGTCTTAGGGTGTTAGAGAAAGCTACCTCCTCTGAGGAATTAGCCAATTGGGAATCTCCTCTATCTGCTAATGTTGGGGTCAGCAGTGGTCTCCAAAAGCCAGCCGTCTCCCAGATGATCCCCATCCAGCCGTGTTAGGGCCACAGGGCTTCAACCCTCTGGGACACTTCTCACTCTGGCCACCAGATGGCAGTGCCCATTTTGCAGCCCTGTGTTGACCTGGCCACTAGACGGGTGTCTCCAGGTAAGACCTGCTGGTTTGGGTGGGTTTCGTAGAAAAGGGTTACAACACACACACACACACACACACACACACACACACACACACACACACAGGTTTTAAGGGAAAAGCTATGGCTCAGATGTGGTCAGGACATACAGTAATGGAGGACAAGCCTATTCACTGCACTAGACTGGGGAACACTGTGCCAGGGTGTAGCTCCCCTGACGGATGGGGGTGAAGGGTTCCTACTAAGTTAGCTTTTCTAGATGGCTCCCCAGATCATCAGGGATTTCTGGCAGCTTTGCGCTCCCTTCTCTTGGGCTCCTGTCAATCTCTTGCAGGTAGAAACTTGTCGGGGCGACCGTGGGAGTTTGTATGTAGGCGTGGCTCCATGCCTAAGTGTGGGTTTTGTGTGGAGAAAGAGGAGCCCTTTCCAGGAATCCAGACTCTCTGGCTTCTGTGAAAGGGAGAGGCTGGGCCTGGGAGCCCAGGTCTAGTCCCCTAAGCCTCAGGGAGAATGGGGTCTGTGGGGTCACACCTTATGCACCCACTAACCTTATGAGAATTTTTCAGCTTGGGTGGGGAGCTGTCCCGGAGCCTCTTCATGGCTTGCACTGGAGAATCGCTGAAGTAGGGTGGCTCCCCATCCACCATCTCAATCACCATGATGCCCAGAGACCAGATATCCACCTGCAGGAGGAAAATGTCCCTGACTCCACTGGCCAGAGTCTGACCTCTTGGTAGCAGCATGCTGCCGGGGGAGGGGAAGAGCGGCTACTGGCTCTCCTTGGCAAGTTGGCCTCCTTTCTGGATACCTGCCCTGTGAGCAGTTACTTCCTGCATGAGTGACCTTGACTAGGAACACATATGGGGAAGCCTGGCCATACCCCACCTTGCCCTTGAGCTGGGGACAAGCATTTTGGGAACCAACTTGTGGCAGCAAAGTCACAGGCAAGAGTAGACCCATCCAAGAAGGGACGGGGCAGTGGACTAGGGTGCTCACTAAGAGGGAACCTGAGAACCAGGACTATTTTTCGGTGGGAAGGGGCCGAAAGCAGAAGAGTTCCGAAGCCTCTTCTGGGAGGAATGGGGGATGGAGGGATCGCTTACCTCGGTGGCATACGGAGACCTGGAGATCACTTCAGGAGCCATCCAGTAGGGAGTTCCCACCAGGGACTTCCTCTTAGGGACATCTTTGCTGATCTGAGCACAGAATCCGAAGTCTGACAGTTTTACCTGGGGGTCGGGTTAAGAAGGAAAAAGGGGAGCGGTAAGCTAGGAGGAGCCATGCTGGGAGCAGGGAAGTGGGGGTATGGGTGTGCCAGGGTGGGGAGGGCCCTACCCTGCCATCAAGGGTCAGCAGAATGGAGTCACTCTTGATGTCCCGGTGTATGACACCCTGGGCATGCAGGTAAGCCAGGGCCTGCAGCACGGCCTCACACACAGTGGCAATCTGCTCCTCGTTCAGCCTGGACAGGGAAGGCAGGGCCACCGTCGGAAGAGAATGTTAGCTTTGGCTGGGCTGCAGGACAGATGGGCTGAGAGAGTAGGTGCCCCTGGTACCAAGCCCCACAGTGTCTGGGCAATGTGTGCGGGAGCCCTGGTAGGACAGAACCCTGGAGGAAGTGGGTCTGGGCCTAGGCTGGATACCACCTTGTCCTCCCACTCTCCTGGGTCCTTGGGTCTATAAACCCAAACAGACAGGGGGCACTCAGGACGATCTGATAGTTCCCCCAAGTCTGCTGGGCCCCAGGCTGCCTGCTATCCCTGCCTGATATCCACTGGTGCCCAGCCCTCCGGCTGCCCACCTGACTTGGGAGATGATGTCCGTGAGGGCCCCGCCCTGCAGGAACTCCATAAGCACCCACAGCTCCTCGCCCACCAGGTAGCTCTTGTACATCTCCACCACGTTGAGGTGCTGGTAGTCCCGCATGATCACCACCTGGGGGCAGGCGAGGATGTGTGAGTGCTGGGCAGACCCCACTGCCCACCTCGCACCTGTCCAGCCTGGCTTGGTGCTCACCACCCATCCCAGTTGCCCGCCCCCATCCACCCTCTCCTCCCACCTCATTAAAGAGCAGCTCCCTGCGCTGCTGCTTCCTGAGGTCCATCATCTTGACGGCCACCTGGCGGCCCGAGTGCTTCTCCCGGGCCAGGCAGACAATGCCCGTGGAGCCCTCGCCAATCTTCACGTAGCTGTCCAGCAGCAGCCGGGGGTCACCCTGGTCCACCACCATCCTGAGTGCAGCCTTGAACTGCTCGTGTGTCACGATGCCTGTGTCCTCACCAGCCGGGGCGCCCTTGGCTACCGTGGGGTCCTGGGGCAGGTACAGGTTGCTGGTGCTGATCTGGGTGTGCCGGGTCCGGGGGGAGCCAGCAGGGGAGGACCGGCCTGGAGGGGGGCCAGTGGCTGGGGCTGTGCGGAGCGACTTCTGGGGGCTGCTGGTATCTGAGGCGGTCAGAGGGCTGAAGGTCCCCATGGGCTGGTCTGAGGGTAGGGACTGGGCCTTGGCCACCAGGCTTGTGGGGGAGTCTTTCTGGGGCGGTGGGAATGAAGAGGTGGGCTGCAGGGAAAAAGAAACAGGAAGAGGTCTGGCCGTGGGAACGTGTGGAGCAGACTTCCCGCAGCAGGCGGCGGCTGCTGTGACTCCAGCACACGGGCAAGGTTAAGCAGGGCATCAGGCCAGACTGGGGCGGTGCCACATGCAAAGATTTTCAAATGGAGCTGAGGCCAAACCACAGCCCTGCTTGGGAAACCGACCCCCACTCCTCCCAGGTGAGCAGACCACACAGAGCTCTCTACATCCAATTTGCCTGGTCCTGGGAAGACAAAGAAAGCAGGTCCCTGGGGTGTCCTGATGCTAGCTCGGTGTTTCTTCCTAGGGAGTTGACAGCCAGACCCCAGAGAGGCCGCTGGGAGGCAGCCCTCCCTCTCGGCGGGGCAGTGTGGGGAATCTGGGTCAGAGGCAGCCGCTCCCAAGGCCCCCCCAAACCCAAGGGCCCGTGCCAGCAGCAGCAGCACTGTTGCGCTCCCCACAGCACACCGCTGGGCCATGTTTCCATCTTGGGGGTTTCAGGTCCAGAGAGAGCTGGGATCAGGAGGGCTGGTCCCGCCAAACCCAACCCTTGGGGCCAGGGGTCCTGGGGAGGTCTCCTAAGGGGTCCCCAGAGGGGCCCCTCCACTTGCTCTCCAGCATGAAACTCCTGGCCGAGGACCCCCACTAGGAAGGGAAGGCAGGGCAGGCGGCGCTGAGCGGCAGACTGGGCCCCCAGAGAGCCCTGCGCAAGACCACCCCCGGAAGCCTTCGAGGCTCCTGGCCTTTCTAGGCCCAGAGTCTCCTTCAGTCCTGCCAGGAAATGACCCCCAACCTTACGGTGCTTGCCAAGCAGCTGGTGGTGTGTGACATGAGTATGGATTATGCGTTTTTACAAGGGGCACAGGGAGGTTATAACCTAACAGGGAACCTTGAGGAGCCTCAGAACCCATCCCAGAGTTGGCTGTCTAGGTGCCCAGGGGCCCCCGGCCCTGATTTCTAGAGCCGAATCAGCTTTCAGGAAATCTTCTCACGCGGTAAGCTTGGGCTGAGCTGCTTGCTCAGGACAGCAAGTCCGGGCCTCAGGCCCAGGGGGCTCAGCCAGGGCCTTTCAACCTCTTCCGCACCTGCCCCGGGCGTCAGGGCTCCCACGCCACCACAGCCCCTGGCCTGGTCTAGGGTCGGGCAGGTGTCCCTGCCTGCAGAGAGCTGAGAGCCAGCCCTGATGTGGCCAGGGACGTAGGGGTGGTGGGCCCAGGCTCGGACTTCACCTCCGCAGGAGCAGGTCCTAAGGGTCCCTTCATTGGCCCTGCTGCCTGTCTCCACAAGGAGGGAGCTTTTACTTAATGTAACCACAGGAAAGGACCAGGTAGAACTTGCCAAACCAAGAAAGGGAAAGGAGACCAATGTGAAATTAAGGAGTTGTTATGGGCTCTGGATTAACTCTGGAGTTATGTGTGCAGCTGAGACCGCCTCTAGAGCAGGAAGCCACTAGCAGAGCTGTGCGTGGGGCTACAGCGGTGCCCCCTGCGCCCTACCTGGAATGAGGGAACAGCACGGGCTCTCTGGCTGAGGGCCTGGGGCTGCGCTGCAGGTGCCCCAGAGGCAGAGGCTGCGCCATAATATTAACAAAAATACTAATGAAGCCATTCGTTGCAGGTTTTACACTTTGACAAGGGCCTTAAGTGCATTATTTCATTGAACTCTCATAACCCTGTGGGTTGTTTTATTATCCCATGGGTACTATTATCATCACATTTGTAGATGAGGAAGCAGGGTCAGGAAGGTGAAGTAACTTGCCCAGAGTCACTAAGTAGTAAGGGGCAGGGCCAGACTTCAGTCCCGGTCAGCCTAACCCCTGGCCTCTATGCTGCGGTCCTATGGGTGTCCTGAACCGCTGGCATATAATGGAGTACACAGTACACAGTACACAGTAGGGGCTTAACCAATGTTTGATTATTGAGGTCTTCTGAATTGGCCTTTCTGCCTCTAAGTGGAACCACAGCTAAATTCCCCAAATTTATAGCTGTCTTACCTCTTTTGCTTCCCCGCCCCCACTCAAGGCCTCCTTTTGCTCTTTAGCCAAAGTGAGTGACCACAGACCAAGCTGCCTGGGCTGAGTCCAAGAGCCCGAGTGCCACAGGTCCTCCTGCAGCCACTCCTGGCCCGCCTTGGCCGTTGTCCACCTGACCTCCCAGGGCACCAGTGTGCCGCTGCTGCTCTGGGAGCCTCTGGGAACGTGCAGAGCCAGCCCTGGCCCGTGCTGAGCGGCACAGGGCTGGCTGCTGGCTTGGTCTGGGGGTTCCTGGGGCTGTGACAGAGGAGAGCAAGCTGGATGCTTCCCATCTGCGTGGTAATTTGCCTAAAGCAATTTCTCAACTGGGAGCCACTTTGCCACTCAAGGGACATTCGGCCATACCTGGAAGGATTTTCAGTTATCCCATCGGCAGGGTGCTGCTAAAGTCTAGTGAGTAGGGGCCAGAGATGCTACTAAATATCCTCCAATGCACAGGACAGCCCCCAGGACAAAAAATTATCTGATCCAAATGTCAGCCCTGCAGGGTTGAGAAGCTCTGGCTCAGAGGCCTGGCTTAGGGTATTTGTCTAGAAACATGTGCCTAAAGTGCTGAGAAGGAAAGCACTGCCCTGGACTTGGAGCCCAAGACAGCAGCCCCCTCCCTCCACGGGTGCAGGGCCCGGCCCCGCACGCCCAGCAGCAGGGCCCGCGGCAGGCACGGGCAGGCTGGCAGAGGCTGGGCGGGCAGCCCTTGCCCTGCTGCGAGGTGTTGCCAGGAACCCAGAAACACGCATGCCTGCGCCCAGCCCAGTGTTAACACCACCCCCCAAATCCCTGAAGCCCTCCCGAAGGACCCCCAAGAGGCCAGGGAGCAATCAAGTTCCCATTCTCACCTGCCTGGCAGGGTGCATGGTGCAGCTCCCGCCTTGGGTTTCTGGGGAATGTCCCCCCGGGGGCACAGCCTTCAAGACCCTCATCTCACAGATACATACTGTTGGTCCTCAAGCAGAGGGATACATCAAGCCACATGTCATCTATTTGTCCCCAGGCCTCCACCCTACAGGCGAGCCCAGCCACTATTCTCTGTTCCAGTGCGGGGCTGGAGGGCACAAAGCCCAGGGCCGTCCCTGGGTGCCTTGTGCTGGCAGTGAGTGAGAAAGGCTGAAGGCCACTCCCCAAACTCCCCCCTCAAGTTCAGGCCGGACCAGATGCACGGTCCCTGAGAGGGGAGGACCAGGTTTGTCCTCCTCCAGGGAAGGGAGCCGCTGTCACTGGGCCACTAAGTTTCTTAGGTCTGACTTTGAAACCTTGGGCTGCTGCCTAAGCTCATTTCTGCCTGTCCGTCAGGAAGGAGCTAGAGGACAAGCGGCTGCCAAGACAGCGAAGCTTTCCTGAGCAGAAGGGCCCTCTTGCACCTTCCTTGCCTGACTCACTCGTGACACCTGGGGGCTGCCTCGCCCTCTCTGAGTCAGTCTTCTCATCTGCCAAATGGGAAAGGATGTGACTGTCACCCCAGACAGGCTGCCATAGGGCATGTAAGAAGCAAAACTGTTCTCCTCTGCCTGCCCAGAAATGTCACCACTTGGTCCCCTTTCACTGTTTCCTTTTTTATAAGAAAAGTGTGTGCATTTGAGACCATCACACAGGCCGAAAGTCAGTTCTCCGGCTGCCTCCGGACACGGGCAGAGTCAGTCCTCTCGCTTTTCATGTGGCACATGAACTTGAGAATAGAGCACTACAGCAAAATTAAACAAACCCACCACCACTCAAGGAAGGGCGGGCGAGCGGGCATCCTCACTGGAGGAGGGGCACTGCTGCATGTCGTTGGGGGAAGTGGTGCAGGGAGCCTCTGCGCCACCTCAGGGGCACTGGGGCAAGTGAGGGATGGAGGTGGCAAGAAGGTCTGAGAGGAGGGAGGCAGAGAGAGGCCTTGCCCTGCCCAGCGCTGGAGCCCTCGTCTCTCTGGGGGGCCTGGGTGGGGGCTGCTGGGCAGCAGGGACAGGCGAAGGTCTGGGCCTCTGTGGTTAAAGATGCTGCTTTTTCTGGGGGTGTCTGCCAGCCAGTGTGGTCCTCCTAGGCACTCCCTAGAGGGCAGGAGTGTAAGCTGGTTGTACCACAAGCCCCTCCAAAGCATCCCCGGGAAAACGACCTGGCTTGCAACCTCTGACCCACACGTGGGACGCCTTTGGAGGACGAGGGCTCAGTTGGTTCAGGACAGAATCCTCAGTTGAGGCTGAGCTGGTTTCTTGATTACTTTGTTCCCTCATGCTGTCCCCAACCCACCCCTATAAATCGGGGAGGCCGGGCAGGGCCTGTGTCCCTGACACACATTCCCCAGGCCAGCTCCCGGCCCTGCTGGGAGCGGCCCCAGAGGGCAGCCCCCCCGGCCTACCTTGCTCTGTGGTGGAGGGCCTGGCTTGCTGCTGCTCAGAGGGGCTGTGGCAGGAGTTGACAAGAACATGCTCCGGAACAGCCTGTGCTTCAGACTGCTCTCCTGGGTCTTCGGGCTGGGGCTGCCCTCCCCCACCGGCCTGCCCGCAGCTGAGCCCACCAGGCAGGACTGTGGCCGGGCCTCCTCGGGGCCGTGCCTGGCAGCCTTGGTCCCACGCCTTCCAGTGGCTGCAGGGGGTGAGGTGCCAGGTGGGGAGCTCTGCAGGCAGGTGCCCAGCTGCAGGCAGCGCTGTGTGGCACCCTGGAACTCGGTGGGGCCCAGGGACTGTGCCTTGGTGGCCAGCCCGTTGGGCAGGATCCGCGGGCTCTGTGGTTCTGGCCACGGCATCTGCTGGCGGCTGGCCGGCGCACCCCCATTGCAGCTGAGGTAGAGGCCCTGGGGGTCAGTGCGCTCAGACTGGGGGCTCTGCAGGTACATGTCCGGGTCAGCAGCCCAGGGCTCCTCCCCTAATAGCCCCAGGGACTGTGCCCGCCGCCGGCTGGTGGGGCTGCGCCCACGCAGGGTGTTGGAGCTGATGACTGACAACTTCTGGATGTCGTTGAGCAGCCCCGAGATGTAGCCGTCCATGGGCACCGAGCTGCCCCGCACCACGGTCTGCAGGTAAGAGCAGAGGAGCATGGGTGAGGGACCTGTTCTTGGCAGTGAGGGGCGGCCTGGGACCAGGCCAGGGAGCCTCCCTGGGGGCTGTGAGGAGGAACACCTAAGCACCTTTCCTGCTACATCATCTGTCCGTTCCTTAATTTTTCAGTCACTTACCAGGACCTGTGGCAGGGCAGGCCCGTGTTTGACAGTCCAGCACGCCAAACGGTGTGGGCCACGGAGCCGGGGAGCTGAGGGCAACCAGCGGGGGCGTGGCGCCCACCAGGCCCCACCGGGGGCCCCCTGCCTCCTCCAGCTCTGCCTGTGGCCTTCGGGAAGACACGCAGAGCCCTCGGAGGAGGCAGGGCCCGGCCCAGGGCTCTCCTCCGCACATCCTGGCTTTGTGGCCTCTAAATCCTGACCCAACCCCTCCCAGGCTCTTGGATCGACCCTTCTTGACCCACACAACTAAATCCCCTAGTCCCACAGGGGCTGCAGGTCCAAATATTGCACGGGCACCCTTCATACTAAAAGATTATTTGTTGTTATCTGAAATCCAAATGTTCTCGGGCACTCTGTGTTTTTATTTGCTATATTTGGCAACCCTGCCCTTTAGAGGACTCCCCAGGGTCCTCTTCCCCTGGGTCTCCCAGGGAGAGAATGAGAGGCTGATTAACGGGGAATAAACAGCAGCTAATTGATAGCTGGTAATGAGGTGGTTCCTCCAGGTGCCTTTGTGGTTTGGCCAGGCACAGGCACCGGTGGAGCAAGAGAACCTAACTCGGCCTCACTCCCCCTGCCGCCCACCTTACCTTCATGGGCTGGAGCTGCACGCGTGTAATGCGCGAAGGGTCCACCACGGGCTTCGGACGCCGGAGTGTGTCCAGGATGTTCTGCCATTGAGGGGGGAGGCCCACGAATTTGCCTTCTTTAGGGTCAAAGGAGGTGTGGACACGGTGCTGGAAGTTCTGTGGGGCTGAGATCTCAGGGCGTTTCTTCTTTTTCTTGCGGAACATGGTGCCTGAGTGGGGAGGGTGGGGCTGAGGCTGAGCTCCAGCGGGGGCTTCACAGGAGCCCAGCCCCGGGGAGCAGGGCTGGCTACAGTGGGGGCTGGGGCACCAGGTTCTGGGCGCTTTCCCTCCAGCACATCTCCCCTGCCTGGGCCCAGGGCTTCCCCTCTCTTCTCATCCCTACGTCCTCAGGAAAATGGCTAGCTCCCAGCATGGGGGTCCCAGAAAAAACAAAAGCACCATGTATAAGCCAACACAGACAACAAACAAAGAGGAGAGGTGTCTGTCTCATTCTCTGCGCCAAGTCCCCTGTTGAGCAAGCAGACTCTGGGGGTGTGTTTTTATAAGATCCAAAGCCCATGACAAATACCGTTCACTGTCGAAGAATTAAAAACAGGGCAAAGAGGGAGGAAAGCCAGCAAATGCATTTAACAAAGTGAATATGACCTTGATTCTTCAGCCAGATAAGAATAGTACAAGAAAAGGAAAATTGGAACCAATCTCACTTATGAACATGAATGTGAAAATCCTAAACAAACAGCAAGTTGAATCCAATAGTATGTTAAAGTTTTTGGTTTGTTTTTTTTTGTTTTATCGCAATCAGCTCGGGTTTGCCCCAGGATGGTTCAACAGCAGAAAACCCGTCAATGAGATACACAGCATTCATGAAAAGCCAGCCTGCTGAGCCACAGGCACGTTGCCCACTCTGGGACCCGCATGTTACCAGGCGCTCGGCCCTCATTCGGGAAAGCTCCCAGGGGCAACTGTCTGGGGGTAAAGCTCTCCAGGGAAGAGAGAGCCCACCTGCCCCTGGGGCTCTTTCTCTGGGTCTCAGAATGCTGACTACAAAACAGCACTTGCAGTCCAACCTCCCTCCCTCTCCTTGCTGATCTGGGGTCCAGCTAAGGCCCTGGTGTGGTCCCTCAACAGCTCACAGTGATGTTGGCAGCATGGGATTTGAGAGAGGAAGCCTGGAAACCCAGGAGGTAAAGTGACTCTTCCCAAGTGCTGCTGCAGCCTCGCCTTCAGGAAGCCCCTGACTGGGACCGCCTGTAATGGAAGCCGCGGTCACGGGTGGCTGCTTGAACGTTTTTGTGTCCGAGGTGGCTCAGAAAAGCTCAATGGTTTTACTTTTTTAAATTTTCTTTAGTGTGGTAAATAACATACACTTAATGAGTACTTATGTCACCTGGAAAGGACCTCTAGGTTTCAAGAAACACATTTGTTTCTTGAACGCTTGCATCATTCATCTGTCCTAGGTCTGGCATACCTTTGGATACTGGGGCATTCTCTTTTGGTTCCTGCTCTGGAAACAAGCATTTTCCTGGTCACTTTAGCAGGCTCTGGAGAAGGTCACAGATCTGGGAGGCAGCTGGCAACTACTCAGAATGGCTGTGGGCTCGAATAGCCGCAGCTCCCCGCTAGAATTCACCAAGTGTGTGTCCGTCTGAATCCATGTCATACCTCTTGGAATGTCAGCTTCTTTTGGGGACCTTTTGGTTCAGGAGTCCACTAAACACCTGCTACGAGCAAAGCCTCCTGTGGGGACGCCCAAGGACCAAGGACTTCGGAGTAATAGATACCTGTCTGAGTTGCAGGTGAGCTGTAGGGAATCTCCCAGTAATCTGGGGAGACTGAGCAAGTTACCTAAATGATCTGAGCTTCAGTGCTCTTCATCTATAAAATGGGGTTAACAAAAGATATCTCACCCTGGCTGGTGTGGCTCAGTGGACTGAGTGCTGGCCTGCAAACAGAAAGGTTGCAGGTTTGATTCCCAGTCAGGGCACATGCCTGGGTTGCAGGCCAGGCCCCCAGTTGGGGGCGTGTGAGAGGCAGCTGATTAGTGTCTCACACACTGATGTTTCTCTCCTTCTCTTTCTCCCTCCCTTCCCCTCTCTAAAAATAAATAAATAAATAAATAAATAAAATCTTTAAAAAAAAAAAAGTATATATATATATATCTCATAGGGTTTGGGGAGTATTAAGTAAGCAGATTGCTATGTTACTTCTCTGGATCCCTGTTTCTAGGCTCAGGGCCCTACAGATGGGAAGAAAATGGGCAGAAACTAGTCTGGGGGTGATACTGAATTCCAACCTCAGATTTCCCTGTCAAAGGGCCAGGCATGACTTCTGGGACCTCAGGCCCTCAACTCCTCTCCCCTATGTTGATTCTTGATGGTCTGGTAAAACTTGACCTTCCTGCTCTCAGCCTTTGGCTATAGAAGAATCTTCATCCCTCAGTCTGTCCTCACAGAGTCTGAAGTAGACCCTCTACCCCCGGCTTAGCTTAGATTAGCTGATGGTTTCACCTTGTTCCCCGACTCTGTTAACTCCCCTGGAGACGCAGGGACACACCCCAGAGTTAAAGAAGAGCTGAGCTGGCTAATACTTCCTCCCCCCAGAACACCCTTCTCCCCTACTCCCCTGCCCCGGCCCCGCTGAGGTTTTGCAGGGAACAGCATCTTTAGCTAATCATCTAAATGACTCTAGGATCCCTGAGGCCACCCCAACAGGGACTTGAGAACATTCTTCACAGTGGCAGAAAGGAAGGCTTGAGGAAAACACAGATGATGGTGCAAAGTCCCAGGGTCAGGTGTTGTGGTGGGGAGGGTGGGAGCTGCCTGAAGCACGGAGTGAGCTCAGGCTTTGGGGTGGGATGAGCAGGGATTTAGAAGTCAGAACCAGCCACTTAGCCAGTGGGAAATCCACACCTACAAGGAGCCTGCCAGGGCTCTTCCAAAATGTAGTGAGGTCAACACTGCCTAGGACAATATAATTATGCACATAGAAAGTCCAGGGGGAAAAGGCTCTACATACAAGGCTCTATTGGGCTTAGAGAAGTGAATTGAGAAGGTCTCTAATTCAAGGTCAATATAATAAAACCAACTGTAGCCCTGGCTGGGTGGCTTAGTTGGATCCAGTTTGATCCCTGGTCAGGGCACATACCTCAGTTGCAGTTTCGATCCCCAGTTGGGGCGCTTACAGGAGGCAACCGATCGATGTTTCTCTCTCACATTTGATGTTTCTCTCTCTCTCTCCCCCCTCCCCTCCGTTCCCCCTTCCTCTCTCTCTAAAATCAATAAACATATCCTCAGGTGAGGATTAAAAAAAAAAAAAAAGAAATGAATCGTATCTTGACATACCAGCAACAGATAGAAAATGAAATTTTAAAAAAGATTCTATGATATAATGGGAAATAGAAATTTGGTCATTGTCCCTTGTTCCTGGCACACAGCTCCTGAACCCTTGGGTTCCCCAGAGTAACAAGGACGTTGAGCTTTCAGCTTCCCCTGCCCCCACATCTGGGGAGGGGAGAAAGGCCGGAGATTGAGTTGATTGCCAATGGTCAAAGATTCAATCAATCAAGCCTGTGTAATGAAGCCTCCATAAAAACCCCTAAATGACAATATTCAGAGAGATTCTGAGTCGGTGAACACATCAAAGTGCTGGGCAAGTGAGGGGTCTGGGAAGAGCATGAGAGCTCCACGCCCCGACCACACGCCTTACACGATGTATCTCTTCCGTGCGGCTGTTCGTCAGTTGCATCTTGTGTAGTGAACCAGGAAGAGTAAGTGCAGTGCCTCCCTGAGTTCCATGAGCTATTTCAACAAATTACTGAACTCGAGGAGCGGGTCATGGGAACCCCTATTCACAGCCCATTGATCAGAAGTATAGGGGGCCCATGACTGGCAACTGGAATCCAAATTAGGGGCAGTTTGGGAGGCTGAGCTCATGGGGTCTGTGCTTCCCCCAGGAAGTTATTGTCAGAGTTGAACTGGACTGAACTGTTGAACACCCAGTTGGTGTCCGAGCTGGAGATATGGCCTCAGGAAGAAAAAAATGCTCTCATTTGATGTCAGAAGTGTTACCAGGGAAAAGAACCCTCAGATATCATTTACCATTTTACATTAAAAATATCAAACACCTATGAATGAATCTAATAAAAAATGTGCAAGTTTTCTACATTAAAAAGTATAAAATAATTAAAGATATTAAAAAATGTTATAAATTAAAAGACTCAATATTGCTAAGATGTCAATTATTCCCAATTAATTTACTTACAGATTTAGTTCAATGTCAATCAAAATCCCAGTGCATTTCTTTTCCTGGAAATTGACAAATTGATTCTCAAATGTACAGAGAAACATAAAGAACTGGGAATAGTTGAGATGATCTTAAAGAACAGAGTTAGAGGATTATGCTACTAGATATCGAGGTTTACTGTAAAGCTACATTAATTAATATATGTGAAACTGGCACAAAGATTGATGAACAGACCAACGGCATAGAAGAGAGAATCCAGAAATAGACTCTGTCATATCAGGTCACTTAATTTATGACAAAGGTGACACTGCAATATGGTGGGAACAAATGACCTTTTTTTCCATAAATGTAGTGAGGCAATTAGATATCCATATTTAAAAAAAGGAATCCTGAAAAATGAATTCATATCATCCCTCAAAATTAATTGGATCTAAATATGAAAGATAAAATAATAAAGCTGGTGGGAGTGGTATAGGGACGGGTCAGGGGAACCCAATGTCCCTCCTTGCCCAGGGTCCTGTGGGAGTGACTTTGTGGAGCCCAAGTTTGGTGGGGTCTCCTGAGGCCCTTGATCTGCTGGGGCCAAAACCCGTCCACACCCAGGGGTCCCAGAGACAAATTAAATTACCAGGTTTTCTTTGTCCAATGCATGTTAGTTTGTTTGTTTTAATGTTTATAAGAGTTTATTTGAGCCAAACTGACAACATATGCTGGAGAGCAAGATGTCACATGCTTCTGAGAATAACAGTTTTGCAGTTTCTTCTGTGCATTTGAAATGAAGGAGGGAACATTAGAACAACTACATGAAGGTGGGAGAAAAGCAAAGTGGGGGGCTGCATTACAGGAGAGCTAAGATGGTGTGCTCTCTGGCTTTAGCAGGAGGACCCTGAAAGGGGGCTTTTCAAAAGTGCGTCAAGCCAGATGCACAGAACCATGGACAGGGCTTACTTAAGGCAATGACAATCCTTCCCCCCCCCCGCCCCCCGCCCCGAAGAAGTTATGCGCCTGCAGTGTGACTCCCCACCAGGACCTGCCCAGTCAGGAATTTATAATCAGATCCCCCTGAGAGGTTACTTTCCACAGAGCCCCTCTTTCTTCCATACCAAAGCAGAATTCTTGATGTCTTCCTTCAAGAGATTTCTTTCTCTTTCTGAAGAAACCAGGAAGAGTAAGAAGGGCTTCTTTCTAAAGATTTAACCTAGATTAATTTGTAAATGTATTATGAATGCAATGAATAATTGAAGGAGATACAACAAAATATTTATTATTGTTGTGTTTGACTGGTGAGCTACAGGTGATTTCCTCCTACCCCATCTTTCTATTTTTTTTGGAGGGGGAGAGGAAGGAAGGGAGAAAGAGAAGGAGAAAAACACCAATCAGCTGCCTCTCATATGTGCTACGTGTCCTGATCAGGGATCAACCTGCTATCTAGGTATGTGCCCTGACCAGGAATTGAACGAGCCACCTTTCACTTTGGGAGACAACATCCAACCAACTGAGCCACACCGGTCAGGAGAACCCCATCCTTCTACTCTTATACATTTTCCTTAAAAACAATGGACGGCTTTTCTAAAGAAAAGGGTGATCCGTGATGACTGAATTCCTAAGAGCCATTCACCCACTCAAGTGTCTAATGTGGCTGAGTCACTGGGACTGAAACACCTGAGACATAAACATCCTGCACCCTTCCAGCAGCAGAGCCTGCGCCCTGGGAGCACGCCCGCCTGCCCAGACAGGGGCCCTCACGTTGCCACTCCTAGTTCTCCATCTTCCACCCCAGGTTCCTACCTCAGACCCAAGCCCAAGCCCCCGGGGCGGAGGGAGGCCATGTTACAGCGAACCAGGCCGAGCCAGCGCCAGCCCTGAGAGTTGCCAGTCCCAGATTCTCACCTCTGCATCCACAGTCAGTTCATCTAGTGGAGGCACTTTCCTCAGAGACGCCTTGAGCAGGAAGGAAGGAGGAGGAAGGAAGATGATTCTTCTTCAGAGAGCCAGTCTACCTTTCCTTCTGACTTGGAAGGGATGTGGGCCTCGGACTCTGCAGGAGAAATGGACAGAGGCGGGGCGCCAACTCAGACTCAGGGTGGCCGCCTGTCGTCTGACGCCTCCCCAACACAGGGCAGGGGGGCGCCAAGGATTCTTTCCCTGGCTGGGATGCATTGCTGTGATGGAGGAATGCTTTGAACTTTCCTCTTCTGAATGTCTGCAGATATTACTTTCCGGCTGGCTGGCCCATAACTGGACCGGAGCGGGAGGCCAGTGCCGGGAGGGAGGAGCCCAGCCCAAACCAGTTGGAGAAGGAAGCTCCCTGGGCACAGCTCCTGCCGATGCTGCTTCCTGCTGCCAGAGCTGGCAGTGAGGAGCAGGGTAGTTCCTGGAAGAAGTTTTCTGGAGGAAGTGCTGCCACACCCAGGAAACCCGAGGGCAGAGACGGTGGAAGAGTTCAGGGAAGCACAGAGTGGGGTCACTGAGGTGGGGGGCACTTAGAGGAGACTCGAGACAGAAAGGGAAGTGACTGTTCTTGAGCTTCTACTATGTGCTAGGCCCTTTCCAAGGACCAACTGATTTAATCCTCATAACAACTCTGGGGAAGGGTAGGAATTGTTATTATTCACAAATCCAGCTAGGCTCAGAGAGGTTAAATAACCTGCTCATGGCCATAGAACGAGGAAGTGACTGCGTTGGGGTTGGGCCCTAGATGTGGCTCCAAAGTTCCTCTTCTGCCCACCATGCCCACTCTGAGGGCTGGGGGCTGCTGTTAGTCTCCTTCGCGGGGTCTCTATGAATAGAATCGGGGCTGAGCAGCCTGAATAAACTTCTGGGAATAGGTAGAAGGGGGTGGGCCAGGGCCAGGGCCAGGGCCAGCTCCGTCAACCGAGATTGCCAGGCTCTTTCTGGGCCGACCTGTGAATCTGAAGCCAAGGGCTGGGGCTGCCCTGACTTGCAGGCTGACCTTTTCTTTGTTTGAAACCAGGTTTCTTTTTGCTTTGCAAGGTATGGGTAAAATATTCTAAAAAGCTCATGCTGGTGGCTGTGATGTCAGGGCCTGGAGCACATGAAAAAAGCCACAGAAGCAGCACAAAAAACACACAGAAGCAGGGGTGTATTCTCTCCTGTGGGCCAGGTCCCCCGCACGGGGCCTCAGCCGAAGGCAGGCAGGCCACGGGCTTGGCTGGAGGAGTGGCAGGCAGCTTTGTGGCTGACGCTGCTGTTCCGCAGCCACGTGGGGTTTGGGTGGTGGCCCGCAGAGCAGGGCACTGTGGCTTGGCTGCTCTACGGTTCATAACAGGGGTAAGCAGGGCAGCCACAGCGGGTGGGCTACCCTCTCAAACTGCTCCTCCTCTAGGAGGAGACATCCATCTGCCCGGGCCTGGGGTACAAGGGTCACCAAGCCGTTGGGCCCCACAAGCTCAGGACAGCGCTACAGAGAAATGAGTCTGCATTTGAACCTCAGACCAGAGCTCTGACATTCCAATGGGTGCTGCCATTTAAGGCGGCCCTTGGGAGTGACTCCTACTGTTCTAATCATGTGTCAGGACTTCCAGAAGTCCCCTTTGGAAATCACCCTTGGGGCCCATCTTGAGCCAGCACCAACTTGTTCTCTGAACCTGTCACCTCTGCTTTCATTGAAAGTGGCGGTATCTGACTTGGCCGCCCACCTCACTCTCCAGGCCTGGCTTCCAATGGGTTTTGGCTATTTCTACACATCAAATCCCGTTCAAGGGAAGGACACTCAGCCCACGGAAGGGATTCACAGAAACGCACTGCAGACTGGGCAGGCGGCTTTCAGAGGGCAAGTCTAAAGGAGTTTGCAGCTTCTCTGAAGGGGAGGGGCTTGGCTGGTTAAGTTCTGGGATGCTGGTTAACTGTGAGGAATAAAGCCGGGAGACTGGAGGAGAGGAGGCAGCTGCACCCAGCGCCCTGCTCTGAGTGCCAGTGAGCGGGAGTGGGGGGCACACCCGAGCTTCCTCTTCGGGAGGCTTGGGACCTGCTAAACAGAGCTGAGTTCTGGCTCAGTGTGGCCCCAGGGAACAGGGTTCCTAAGTTCCAGCTCGTGGCCTTGGCCTACTGTCCTTCCTAGGCCTCAGCATTTCAGGTGGTGACCAGGGAATGAACTCCTTCACTTGTGCCAGCTTCTCCAAGTACAGAGAGAAGAGAAACAGCATCTATTCTAGCTTGAGGGTCCATTCTGGATGTTTTCAGTTACCATCACTCAGGGAGCGCCTAGGGTTAAGCGCCAGGCTGTGGGCCGAGCTTTTCACATACAAAATCTCACCGCAAGCCTGTGAGGTAAGATCGTTATTGTCCCATCATGCAGATGAGGAAACCGATGTTCAGAGAGATAAGTGATTTGCCCAAGTCAAAGAGCAAAGAAGGGTCAGAGCCTTGTCTATCCCTGATATGAGCAGGGCTGCAGCCGGCTGTTGCCGCCCACCACCCCCGCTGTGTAGTGCTCAGGCCCATCCAAGGTGCTGCTTTGGGGAAGGAACTATTCTAGAATCATGGCATTGAGACAGAAGTATGACCCTGAGTTCTACCGCAATGAGACAGGCACCTCTACTACTGCCACCATCCACTCACGGGGTGACCCACAGAGGGCCCTGTCGCCTCCAGAGCTGGGCCCTCTTACCCTGACGCCTGCCGTCGGGGCGCCGGACCTCTTCCCCCTGCCTTGGGAACGGCATCCGCACACCCTCCCTGAAGAGCGGCGTGCCTCTTGGCCCCGGCTGAGAGGAGCGTGGACCGAAGCCAGGCTCCCATCAGAGAATCCTCGTCATCCAGAAGATTTTTCTCAAACTTTCCTTTCTGGAGTTTGTTTAAATATAAAATTATGTTATTCATTAATTTACTCAAAAGTATTTATTGCGCATTTACTCTGCTCTGGGCTCTGGGGACCATAATGAACAAAACAAAACCCTTGTTCCCATGGAGTTGAACTTGTTTGTCCAAACAGATGTTGCTGGTCGCCCTCTTGAGCTCACCTCTCACCAGAGGAGATGGTGGTGCACACCGTGTGGGGCTCGCTCATGGGGTCTGGCCTCCCCTTTGCTCCTGCCCAAATTGCTATCCCTCACGCCTGTCTCCTGTTCACGCACTGCTCTAATGAGTTCGGTGATGGAATGCTCCGCCCCCTTCCTGAGGCCCCTGCCCTGTGTCCCTCTGTCCCCTTGCTACTCATCCTGTGTGTGAAGCTAAGCTCTGTCCTTCCCCAGCCTCTACCAGGTGTGCAGGACTACTATCTGCCCCTCTTTCTATCACATGAGAGTCAGGGGTGTTGGCCCCCCAGCACTCTTCCCTGGCCCCCCAAAAAATACTGGGGGAAAGGGCCTGAAGAGAATATCATTTGCTTTTCTGCCCAGCTGTCACCTGTAGGGTGGGTGGGTCCTAGACCCAGGGTGTGGCGCTCAAGGCCATTGCCTGAGGGCTCCATAAGACCTGCCCAGGGCCCTTGTGCTACAGCGCGGAGTGTCCCCAGGATGCTGAGCAGCACTTGGGTTCTGATGTGCCACTGGAGTGGCCTAGAGAGAAGCTGTGTGTGCGGGGCAGAGGGCACTGTGCACATAACAAGTCCGCATGTCTAGGCTCCCCGCCCTTGTCATCATTCCCACACTGTAGGTCCCAGTGAATCCCCAGGGGAGAGATAATGGGGCTGTTGTTGAAAAGAATATGATAATAAAGCTCATTCAATCACTTGTGTCAACACTCCAGTTGAATAAGAGGCCAAAGAGCCAGGCTGGCCAGCCAGAGAAGGTCAATATTGACTCAGGCTCGCCTCTCAGGCCCAGCTCCAGCCGGCACACTCAGTGCTGTGGGCCCACACTCAGTGCTGTGGGCCGGCAGCAGCTCAAGCCAGACCAGCCCTCTGATCTCTGTTCACTGTGCTTAGAATCCTAACCCCCTCCTCAGTCCACAGTACTGGACTTTCCTGGGCATGGGGTTATCTCCAAAAGCAGAGAGAAGAATGGTCTTCCCGGGAGGGCTGCAGGCCAGGCACCTCCTCACCAGCCCCGATTTTCACCAGCTTCCGCATGCAGAGGCCTCATGACACCCCCTCAATGCCTAGCCAGAGGAACCTCTGGAGTCTCCCCCTCACAAGACTGGGCTTCAGTCTCTCTCTCTCTCTCTCTCTCTCTCTCTCCCCCCCTCTCTCACACACACAGATAGTTTTACAGCCCTTAACTTTCTATATCTATTTTGTTTACCTCCTCACTTTATGCTTACAACACCACCGTGACTTGGGCCAAACCTGCTTTACTGGGTGCATTTTAAAGACAAGAGAAGGCTGGAGAGAGGAATGAGGAGACGAGAAAGGGAATCTACACAGATACATGTATAAAGCACCCAGAGCATGTCAGGCACTGTGCTGGTGCTTTTTATTAGTGCATTTAATGGTCATAACTCTACAAGGTAGATAATATGAGCTCTGTTTTACAAGTAGAGGAACTGAGGCTTGATGAGAAGTTATTGTCAGAGACAGTTAGTGTGGAGCTGGGATTCAAACCCAGACCTCTCCAACTCTAAGCTCCTCTGTTATGCCCAGAGAAGTTAAATGACCTGCCTCAGATCACATAGCTACTCAGAGATCAGACTGAAAGCCTCAAGCCAGAGGCTCCCTCTACCCCAGGCAACACCTGCGGTGAGGGTCGCCAAGAACACGTTAGGGGCATGCTGCTGTTTCTGCCTCCAAATCCACATCCTCTTCCAGAAAGGACCCTTTCCTGGGCCACCTCATGACTGCCCCACATGGACCCTCTTCTGCCTTTACTGCCTTCCCATGGCGGCTTTGCTCTAACAACCTCCACAATCCCCTGTCACAGAGCCAGACTGTCCTCAAAGTTCTCCAAGAGAGGAGAGCTCAGGTAGCTTCACCTTTTCCAATACTAACAAGCAGAGGTGAGAGACATGGTTCTCTGCTGGATGTTCTCATTTCTCACTGTGACTCCTCACAACTATCCTGTGAGGAAGGCATGATCCTCCCCATTTTGTAGCCGAGGACATTAAAGTTTGGAGAGAAGTAAAGCAACTTGCCTAGGGAATCAAAGGCAAAGTCAGGATTCGAACCCAGCTCTTTCTGGTACCAAATGTGTTCTCAGCCACTGTCCTATACACGGCATGGGGGGAACTCACAGCATTGCAATATATCCTGCACCAGCTGCAAAAGACCTGAGCACAGACCCAAGCCTGCTCAACTGCCCCACCTACGAAAACAAGTGAGAAGACCCTAAAATAACACCAGAAGGGGGCACGTCACAGAAAGCACAGCATATACCCTGGGAACTCTGAATGTCTTAGCTCTTTGTGTCCCTAGCAGCATCTACATCCCAGGTTGGGTGCTGCACACTGGGTGCCAGAAACGCTGGAGGGATTTTAGCAGGTTGGAGATGCAGGGAATGAGTTGTCGGGCTGGGATGTGCTCAGCACAGGGGACTGCTTCCTGGCCTGCCCAGCACCGGCGCTGTGCCTGCTACTGACTTCCCGTGCACAGCTTTAGTGACACTGCGTTGCCCCAGACAGGCTTCGCACCTGATGACAGGCAGAGGCTGGGCCAGGAGGCAGGGCAGCGCGTTTGAAGCCCAGCAGCCTGCTGTGGGCTGAGGTGGTGGAAGTAACAATGCACATCCACTAAGTACTGAGAAATGGCACCTAAAAGGGATGACCGCTGCCCCCTAACCGGACCAAGAATGGTCCAGCCCAGGAGAGACATCTGCCTGTCCCTTTCAATCTGTTCCTCATGCTGGTCTCCAAAGGTGCCTGGGCACCCGACCAGGGCTGGAGGTCCCTCACTCACCTCTGGCCGGCTGCCGTCCTTGCTTTCTCTTCTTCCTGATTCCTTACCCTTCAGTGGACGGAGCTCTCAGGCACCAGGTGAGGGAACACTAAGCACCTTCGCGGCCAGTCCTCTGAGGCCTGGATGGAAAGAGACCAGAAAGTCATTGTGACAAATATGACAAGTGTCCCTGCGGCTTCTGCTAATGGCCGGAATCCAGAGCATTCCGAACAGTCCCATACCAGCCTCCCCACTGAGCCACTTTCTCAGGTTGCAAAGGGAGGAGGAGGGATCCCCGCAGGGTGCAAGGGAGCAGCGCGCAGCGCTTCCGGCCTTCTCCCACCTGCTTCCCGACCCATAGCAGCCTCAGCGCCCCTCCGCCCCCGCGCCCCCCGCAGTCCTGAATGAGGCGGGAATCTCCCCGCTGGCCAGCGCGCTCCTGGAGGTAAATCCCGGCGCTCACTCGCAGCTCCCGAGCTCTCTGTCCTAGCGCTCACGCACGAACACCAGGCGCTGTGGGCTCCGAAATTCGGGGAATGAGAACCCGGGAAAGGGGGCCACGCGTACACGGAGGCCTGTTCCCTCGTCCCGGCACCTGTCTGGGGAGGTCGGTCAGCTTCCAGGGGAGGCTGGGACACCCACCTGCGAGCAGGAAGCCTCCGGAGCACCAGGAGAGGGCTTGGGAGCCGGCCCGCCCTCCGCGGGAAGGACCTGGGCGCCAGGAACTGCGAGGGGAGGCCGCGCTTGCAAGTTGGTACAGCGCCGGCTTCACCTGGCCACGAGTTTGATTTCAGGGTGTGGCCCCAGGTAGGACTCGGCGGGGAACACAGCGCCCGGGTTTGCCAGGGAAAAAATGCCAAGGGGTGCAGGGACCTGGGGCCGTGGCCAGGAGCCTCTCTCCCGAGGGGCGCCTCCCTTCTCAACCCTATCCCTCTAACCCTTGGACCCTCGCTTCCTCTGGCCGTTCACCTTGGGACCCTGATCCCGGCCCGGCCCGCTATGATCTGCCAGTGGCCACACAGCCCCAAGGCCTCTGCTTGGAGGCCCGACCTGGATTATCGCTGAGCCCTCCTCGGTGTAATTAACTCATTAATTTGCATTGCAGATATGCTGGGCTGCCTCCTCCCAGACCCTAGAGGTGCTGTGGTCGCCCACCCACACACCTCGGAGAGGCCCAGCGGGAGTTCTGCCACCTGCCACCTTGACCTGTCTGTTCATCTGGACAAGGCCCTAGGCCTGTCTTGGGCAGGAAAGCTGGAATTAAAGAGATTCCAATTTTCTTGTCAGACCTTGCTCAGATCTGAGAACCCTCTGGCCTCAGGTAGGGGACATCTGGGGGAAAGAAAGCTTTCAGGAGCTCTGCAGCCCCAGAGGACGGGGCTCCTTTCCACAGCCAGCACCTCCTGGTTGTACCCAGTAGTGCCCTGGCCTAGGACCAGGGTGGCCATTCCAAGTGGCTCACTCCTGACTGCCCTTTGCATTTGGAGGGTGGTTTCTCCTGCGTGTTAATGTGCGGGGGAGGGGCAGAGGCTAGCTGCCTGCCCCTCCCCCACACAATAAACAAGGAAGTGAGAGGACCCCAAATGGCTGCCTCCAAGCAGTGGCTGGGTGAGTGCTAGTGTCACTGCAAGGGGACCTAGGACAGTGCAGAGATTTTTGCTGTTGTTGGGCACCTCAAACTTGTTATTTGGGTCACTATTGTCATATATTATCATATTCGTTCACTAATTTTTTAGACACATTGATGCAATTACTGGATAAAGCATTTGCCTATTGCTTCTGCACAGTTCCCTCCAGACCCCTACCTAGCATAGGTAAGGTGGCGAGTGGGAATTCGCCAGCCCAATCAGGCCTGCAGCCTGTTGAGCTGCACCAGTGCCCTCGGCCTGCGTGGGGAAAGCGTGGCTGTGCCTGCCGGAGACGCTGGCCCCGTGAGCCGGCAGTGTGGTGTGGAAGCTGGGGCCCTGCAGGCAGGCCTCTGCTCTGCTCCTTACCCTCTGTCTCCCCTCCTCCTCTCTGTGTCTTTCCCTAGAGGATTCTTTCTCTTTGCTGAGGCTACACCGTAGGCCTGACTCAGTTAGCCAACCTCTGACCTCCTGTGGCCCCTCCGGAAGCTGCCTGCTGAGCCTAGGACAAAGGGGCAATGTGATGCAAATATGGTTTTCTCCGCAGATTAGTTACCCAGGGACACAGGAGTACTGGCTGTGGGGAGCGGGCTGTGCTGGGTGGGGGGGAAGGAGGATTTGCAGGGGGAATTGGTTGTTGAGGATTTGAAATGAACCATGAACCAAGACACGAATGAAATGCATAACATCGATGGACCTAGACTCAGCACTCTAAATTATATTTTACTGATTCACAAATGCACACAGGAATTCTTTTCTTCTCATACAGATACCTTCTATACTGAAACGGCAGCTCTGAGCAGTACTTTTAAACTGTTAAACTATATGATAAGGTGCAAACATTAGACTATTTTCATCAGAAGTGAATTGTTATTTAATATGGTTTGAATCCAGACTTGGGTTCCCAGAAAGGCTACCAGCAAGTCCCATCCTCACCCTGTAGGGAGTGAGTCTAGGGAACCCTGAGGTCCTTCCACCTTGGGGAACTTTGATCAGATTTGGGGAGAGGTAGAGACCCCCAAATAAGACTGACCATGGAGTTAATGAATTTGCCATCACTGAAGACCCCAGATGTGCTAGAGAAAAGGTCCCATACGGGATACTAAGCTAGACCAGGGGACTTCTCAGCTTCTGCATTTTTGGTCAGTTACAGGTGGGTCACCTGACTGTCTACAAGGCAGGATGGCTGGGATGTGCAGAATAGGTCCCGAGTGATTCATTCCTGTGTGTGACTTCCCCCTTCTCTAGACTCCTCTGATCCATGCCAGGAACAGCAGGGGGGACAGCCTCTCCTCCGGCAGCCATGTGCCTCCCTCCCTCTGGCCCTGTTCCCATGGTGCTGTGCCAGGCGCAGGGGTAGGGATCAGGAACTCCCTCCTTTGAAGAGCCCCGGTACCTGGCAGAGGCCTTCAGGTCGAGGGAGTTGTCCATGCACTGCCCTTCTGCAAACTGGGCGGGAGCTCTGAAGAGGGACACTAAGGACTGACATTCCACCATGGGCAAGGGCCCTCAGAGCCCTGCCAGCACCGGGGCACCGGCCAGCCAGCGCTGTCCGAGAGGGCACACCGGGCGGCCCGGCGTTCCCGGCTCGCTCTCAGTCTGTGGTCCTGCCGTGACATCCGAGCACCTACAGCTAGGGCTGGGAGCCTGGGTTAGGACCAAAGAGGAAAGATATGGATCGACTTGTGGTTTAGAAACACAAACACATTATCTTTTCCCTGCCCCTTCCTGCTGCAAGAATTGAAAAGCTGCCTGGGGATCAGGAGCGCGGCCGACATGCTCACTCCCTGCTACAGCTCCTTTCTCTGGATCACTCTGCCCTCCTCTAATAATAGTAATAATAATACCTGCCAATTATTAATAGCTTCCGATGGGCCAGGCCCCATGCTAAGCTATTGTTTCACTCAAAGCTATAATCTCACTCAAGTCTTCACCACAGCCTTGGTGCAGAAGAATGATATCATTATTCTTCTTGTTTTACAGTTGAGGAAACAGGCTCAGAGTGGTTAAGGAACCAGCTCAAGGTCTTGTAGTTACTGAATGGTGGAACCAGAATTTCAACCCAAGTGTATCCCCCCAGACTGTTCTCTCAACTCTGTACCGCTCAGAGGTCCCTGGCTCCAGGGACTGTCTGATATGACTTGACCGGGGGAGTTAAGTTCCCGGGAACAGTTGGTGAGGGAGGCACTGGTCTTTGCCTTCTTGCGCCAACTCTACCGCCCTGTATGGGTAAGTCATGTGACACTGATTTCTCCCCGATTTCTGACAAGGAAATGAGGGACCCTACAAAGCCCTGGGGTCAGGGGAAGAGGGGCCTCAGCTTCTCCCACCCTGTCACCAAGTCCTCTGCTAGGAGTCAGGTGCTAGAGTCCCCCAGTCATGAGCCAGCACCCTGTCTGAAGTCCCTGCATCGAGCCATCTGTCCTTCGCAGACTCGGAATGGGCCCAGGGCCATGAGGCACGTATGCTGCCCTGATGGGAAGGCGGGGCCTGGCACACTTGCGTGCTGCTGGGCTGGAGGAACCCGCTGGGGCCTGGGAGAGGCCGCCCCCAGCCCTGGGAGAGAGGCGGTCTTTGCAGCAGATCTCTCCCTCTCCTCTTCCAGGCTGTCCAGCACCTGTCCCTTCCTGCTCTTGGGGTGGCCTGGGTTAGTGGCCCTCACCCTGGTGGCACCACATCTCTACCCCTCTGTGGATGAGGCTGAGAGGCAGGTGCCCACCTCTGAGGGCCTGGGAGCGTGAGTTGAGGGAGTTGACATTGCCAGGCCCTTGGGGTCCTCAAACAGGAGAGAGACAGGAACCAGCTGCCAAGAGCATGAGTTCTTGCAGGATGGGAGCCTTTCTGCCTCTCTAGACGTCCAGCATGTCTCAGCCTCAGTCTCTTGATGTGTATAATGGGGGAGGGAGTGTCACCCTCCCTGCAGAAGGTGGTGAAATGATGAGATCAAGAACAGGGTGAAAGGTTCTTGACGCTTGGTAAGGGACCAAGGAGGAAACTCCCCTCCGCCATGCCATGCATGCACGTTGCCGCCGTAGGGAGCAGCGAAGCCCAGTTTGGTGCGCCATGGGGGCAGAATGTCAGGCTTCTTCCAGGAGAACTTGTTGAGAAATCAACCCTACAGGCCTATCCCCTCCAGATCCTGGAGAGAGGACCCCAGCCCAGGGCAGCACAGCCTGGACCCAGTTAGGTATTTGGGAGAAGGCCACAGGGTCCCCCTGCCTGGCTGCTGGACAGATCCGTCCTGCTGCCTCAAACTTCAGCAGAGGGAACTCCCACACCCAGAAGCCTCTGGCCTCTCTCTCTCTCTCTCAGCCTCTCTGTACCTTTTTCTCAAGTTTGTATCTGTACTAGGCTCCCCATGCCAATGCGAATATACAAGGCCGGTCCTCCCCAAATGCAAACTGACGCTGCGGGGCCAAACTTGTCTGACCGTCCCAAAGGAGCCTGCTGCCCTGGACCAGCCACTCGGATGCAGGGGCCACTGCCCACCCACCTCGGGGGGCGGAGGCAGGGAC